CCTACCCCCCGGGGTCATGATTTGAACAAACTTGAATCTACACTACCTAGCATGCTTCCATATAAATATTATGAAATATGGCTTTGTCATTCTTGAGAAGAAGATTTTTAAAGAATTTTCATATATATTTCTATGTAAAACATTGGTCTGCCATTTTGGCCCCGCCCTACCCTCGGGGGTCATGATTTGAACAAACTTGAATCTACACTACCTGAGCATGCTTCCATATAAATATGATGAATTATGGCTTTGTCATTCTTGAGAAGAAGATGTTAAAAGAATTTTCCTATATATTTCTATGTAAAACTTTGGTCTGCCATTTTGGCCTCGCCCTACCCCCCGGGGTCATGATTTGAACAAACTTGAATCTACACTACCTGAGCATGCTTCCATATAAATATTATGAAATATGGCTTTGTCATTCTTGAGAAGAAGATTTTAAAAGAATTTTCATATATATTTCTATGTAAAACATTGGTCTGCCATTTTGGCCCCGCCCTACCCCCGGGGGTCATGATTTGAACAAACTTGAATCTACACTACCGGATCATGCTTCCATATAAATATGATGAAATATGGCTTTGTCATTCTTGAGAAGATTTTAAAAGAATTTTCCTATATATTTCTTTGTAAAACTTTGGTCGGCCATTTTGGCCCTGCCCTACCCCCGGGGGTCATGATTTGAACAAACTTGAATCTACACTACCTGAGCATGCTTCCATATAAATATGATGAAATATGGCTTTGTCATTCTTGAGAAGAAGATTTTATAAGAATTTTCCTATATATTTCTATGTAAAACTTTGGTCGGCCATTTTGGCCCCGCCCTACCCCCGGGGGTCATGATTTGAACATACTTGAATCTACACTTCCTGAGGATGTTTCCCCATAAGTTTCATCTTTATTGGCACAGTGGTTCTTGAGAAGAAGATTTTTAAAATATGCCACCAAATTTTCATTAATTCCCAATTATCTCCCCTTGAATGAGGGCGTGGCCCTTCATTTGAACAAACTTGAATTCCCTTCACCCAAGGTTACTTTGTGGCAAGTTTGGTTGAAATTGGCCCAGCGGTTCTTGAGAAGAAGTCGAAAATGTGAAAAGTTTACAGACAGACAGACGGACAGACGGACGCCGGACAAAATGTGATCAGAAAAGCGCACTTGAGCCTTCGGCTCAGGTGAGCTAAAAAAAGAAATCTTAGCTGATTCGTATTTTTTTAAATTGCCCACACATAGTCTACTTCTGGATTTGTATTAATCTTTATAGTCGTATAATAAGGCGCTGTGACACCCCCCCCCCCCCCTTACCAAAAAATCCTGAAACAAATTACTGATAAAATGCTGACACATATTCGAATAGGCCTATTTGAAAAAACAAAACAAAACAAAAGATAATTTTCGGTAGTGGATGTTCTGCAGACGGATTGATATTATTTATACAAAATGTGCAGAACAAATATAACGAATTTCAAGTTTAGTTATACAGTTTTTACTAATAAATCTAGCCTGCTGCCGCAATATTTTCTTCTCTGCGTCTCTGGGAATTTTTTGGACACTGATGACGTGTCCATCTACAGTTTTACCTCTGAAATTGCTGCATAAACAGCAGTAGTTCGTCTTCCACGACCGATATCAAGAAACTGCGTTTTTTGCTCGATTGTATGTCATAGCATAGAACTTTTACTTAGACATGTTAGAACACATGCTCCCAAAATTTGTTATTTGTAAAATAATTGATTAATAGTATTAAATAAAACTTTGAATGGAATTCTAAAAAATGAATAATTTAATCTCATGTGCTCATGTAACGAAGAAAGACTAATTAAAATAGCATCGATCTGAATTTGTGTTACATTAAACTTAAACAGCATTCCTCCCAGAAAGGAATTCTTACTGTGGGAAATGATGTGTCCTTCAAATGACCTAAAAGCCTTCAGATTGTTGGTTGGCGAAAGTTCCACGCTCTGTTGCAAAGGGCCTTCTTTCTCAAACAGGCAAGCAGGATCATTCAACAAGTATTCACAGATCACAACAGTTGTACATCATTTCATGGGTCTGAAATATTTACACTCATTACACTTAACAAAAAAAACAATACTCTTTTTATGAATGTATATAAAACTTAAGCTGCATTTGTCCCAGAAAAGAATTCTTACTGCGGGAAATGATGTGTCCTTCAAATGACCTCAAAGCCTCCAGATTGTGGGTTGGCGAAAGTTCCACTCTCTGTTGCAAAGGGCCTTTTTTCTCAAACAGGCAAGCAGGATGATTCAACAAGTATTCACAGATCACAACAGTTGTACATCATTCCAAGGGTCTGAAAGTACTACACTCATAACACTTAACATGAAAAACAATACTCTTTTTATGAATGTATATAAAACTTAAGCTGCATTTGTCCCAGAAAAGAATTCTTACTGCGGGAAATGATGTGTCCTTCAAATGACCTCAAAGCCTCCAGATTGTGGGTTGGCGAAAGTTCCACTCTCTGTTGCAAAGGGCCTTCTTTCTCAAACAGGCAAGCAGGATGATTCAACAAGTATTCACAGATCACAACAATTGTACATCATTTCATGGGTCTGAAATGACAACACACATTACAATAAACATGAACCAGAAGTCTCTGTCGAGACTGTAGCTCTACTGGTTTATACTTAAAACAAAGGAAAAGTAGCAGTTGCGACATGAAACTTTCAAAAAACAGCAATAATTAGAAAAATGATTCTTGCCACTCATCAAAGCAAAAACCGATGCAAAGTATTATGTATCTTAGTGTAGTCTACTCATGTGCCAAGTTACACTGAAAAAGAATCAAAACTGTAGGAGGAGTAGCATTTTGAAAGAATTTCAAAGAAATTTCTATTTTAGTAACCATGGCAACACTGTTCATCGATATCAAAAACCGTTGCACAGAATTATGTATCTTAGTGTAGTCTACTTGTGTGCCAAGTTATATTGAAATAGAACCAAAACTGTAGGAGGAGTAGCATTTTGAAAGAATTTCACAGAAATTTCTATTTTTAGTAACCATGGCAACACCATTTATTGAAAAATCAAAAACCGATGCACAGAATTATGTATCTTAGTGTAGTCTACTTGTGTGCCAAGATATATTGAAATGGAACCAGCTCTGTAAGAGGAGTAGCATTTTGAAAAATTGTTTACAGACAGACAGACGGACGGATGCCGGAAACATTATTATTGCATAAGCTCTTCTGGTCTCTGACCAGTAGAGCTAAAAACAATACTCTTTTTATAGATGTACATTAAACTTAAACAGCATTCCTCCCAGAAAAGAATTCTTACTGCGGGAAATGATGTGTCCTTCAAATGACCTCAAAGCCTCCAGATTGTGGGTTGGCGAAAGTTCCACTCTCTGTTGCAAAGGGCCTTTTTTCTCAAACAGGCAAGCAGGATGATTCAACAAGTATTCACAGATCACAACAGTTGTACATCATTTCATGGGTCTGAAATTACAACACTCATAACACTTAACAAAAAAAAACAATACTTTTTTTATGAATTCATAAAACTTAAACTGCATTCCTCCCTGAAAAGAATTCTTACTGCGGGAAATGATGTGTCTTTCAAATGACCTCAAAGCCTCCAGATTGTGGGTTGGCGAAAGTTCCACTCTCTGTTGCAAAGAGCCTTTTATCTCAAACAGGCAAGCAGGATCATTCAACAAGTATTCACAGATCACAACAGTTGTACATCATTTCATGGGTCTGAAATTACAACACTCATAACACTTAACAAAAAAAACAATACTCTTTTTATGAATGTACATAAAACTTAAACTGCATTTATCCCAGAAAAGAATTCTTACTGCGGGAAATGATGTGTCCTTCAAATGACCTCAAAGCCTCCAGATTGTGGGTTGGCGAAAGTTCCACTCTCTGTTGCAAAGGGCCTTTTTCTCAAACAGGCAAGCAGGATGATTCAACAAGTATTCACAGATCACAACAGTTGTACATCATTTCATGGGTCTGAAATATTTACACTCATTACACTTAACATTGAAAACAATACTCTTTATGAATGTACATAAAACTTAAGCTGCATTTGTCCCAGAAAAGAATTCTTACTGCGGGAAATGATGTGTCCTTCAAATGACCTCAAAGCCTCCAGATTGTGGGTTGGCGAAAGTCTCTGTTGCAAAGGGCCTTCTGTTGCAAAGGGATTCAACAAATATTCACAGATCACAACAGTTGTACATTTTTTCTACAACACAACAGGCAAGCAGGATGATTCAACAAGTATTCACAGATCACAACAGCTAAACATTATTTCATGTCTGAAATTACAACACTCATTTCACTTAACATGAAAAACAATACTCTTTTTATGAATGTATATACAACTTTAACTGCATTTGTCCCAGAAAAGAATTCTTACTGCTGGAAATGATGTGTCCTTCAAATGACCTCAAAGCCTCCAGATTGTGGGTTGGCGAAAGTTCCACTCTCTGTTGCAAAGGGCCTTTTTTCTCAAACAGGCAAGCAGGATCATTCAACAAGTATTCACAGATCACAACAGTTGTACATCATTTCATGGGTCTGAAATATTTACACTCATTACACTTAACATTACAAACAATACTCTTTCTATAGATGTACATTAAACTTAAACAGCATTCCTCCCTGAAAAGAATTCTTACTGCGGGAAATGATGTGTCCTTCAAATGACCTCAAAGCCTCCAGATTGTGGGTTGGCGAAAGTTCCACTCTCTGTTGCAAAGGGCCTTCTTTCTCAAACAAGCAAGCAGGATCATTCAACAAGTATTCACAGATCACAACAGTTGTACATCATTTCATGGGTCTGAAATGACAACACACATTACAATAAACATGAACCAGAAGTCTCTGTCGAGACTGTAGCTCTACTGGTTTATACTTAAAACAAAGGAAAAGTAGCAGTTGCGACATGAAACTTTAAAAACAGCAATAATTAGAAAAATGATCCTTGCCACTCATCAAAGCTAAAAACCGATGCATAGTATTATGTATCTTAGTGTAGTCTACTCATGTGCCAAGTTACACTGAAAAAGAATCAAAACTGTAGGAGGAGTAGCATTTTGAAAGAATTTCAAAGAAATTTCTATTTTTAGTAACCATGGCAACACTGTTCATCGATATCAAAAACCGTTGCACAGAATTATGTATCTTAGTGTAGTCTACTTGTGTGCCAAGATATATTGAAATGGAACCAACTCTGTAAGAGGAGTAGCATTTTGAAAAATTGTTTACAGACAGACAGACAGACGGACGGATGCCGGACACATTACTATTGCATAAGCTCTTCTGGTCTCTGACCAGTAGAGCTAAAAACAATACTCTTTTTATAGATGTACATTAAACTTAAACAGCATTCCTCCCAGAAAAGAATTCTTACTGCGGGAAATGATGTGTCCTTCAAATGACCTCAAAGCCTCCAGATTGTGGGTTGGCGAAAGTTCCACTCTCTGTTGCAAAGGGCCTTCTTTCTCAAACAGGCAAGCAGGATGATTCAACAAGTATTCACAGATCACAACAGTTGTACATCATTTCATGGGTCTGAAATTACAACACTCATAACACTTAACATGAAAAACAATACTCTTTTTATGAATTCATAAAACTTAAACTGCATTCCCCCTGAAAAGAATTCTTACTGCGGGAAATGATGTGTCTTTCAAATGACCTCGAAGCCTCCAGATTGTGGGTTGGCGAAAGTTACACTCTTTTTTGCTTAGTGCATTTATCTCAAACAGGCAAGCAGGATCATTCAACAAGTATTCACAGATCACAACAGTTGTACATCATTTCATAGGTCTGAAATATTTACACTCATTACACTTAACATGAAATACAATACTCTTTATGAATGTACATAAAACTTAAGCTGCATTTGTCCCAGAAAAGAATTCTTACTGTGGGAAATGACGTGTCCTTCAAATGACCTCAAAGCCTCCAGATTGTGGGTTGGCGAAAGTTCCACGCTCTGCTGCAAAGGGCCTTTTTTCTCAAACAGGCAAGCAGGCTGATTCAACAAGTATTCACAGATCACAACAGTTGTACATCATTTCATAGGTCTGAAATATTTACACTCATTACACTTAACAAAAAAAACAATACTCTTTTTATGAATGTATATAAAACTTAAGCTGCATTTGTCCCAGAAAAGAATTCTTACTGCGGGAAATGATGTGTCCTTCAAATGACCTCAAAGCCTCCAGATTGTGGGTTGGCGAAAGTTCCACTCTCTGTTGCAAAGGGCCTTTTTCTCAAACAGGCAAGCAGGATGATTCAACAAGTATTCACAGATCACAACAGTTGTACATCATTTCATGGGTCTGAAATTACAACACTCATTACACTTAACATTACAAACAATACTCTTTTTATAGATGTACATTAAACTTAAACAGCATTCCTCCCAGAAAAGAATTCTTACTGCGGGAAATGATGTGTCCTTCAAATGACCTCAAAGCCTCCAGATTGTGGGTTGGCGAAAGTTCCACTCTCTGTTGCAAAGGGCCTTCTTTCTCAAACAGGCAAGCAGGTTCATTCAACAAATATTCACAGATCACAACAGTTGTACATCATTTCATGGGTCTGAAATGACAACACACATTACAATAAACATGAACCAGAAGTCTCTGTCGAGACTGTAGCTCTACTGGTTTATACTTAAAACAAAGGAAAAGTAGCAGTTGCGACATGAAACTTTAAAAACAGCAATAATTAGAAAAATGATCCTTGCCACTCATCAAAGCAAAAACCGATGCAAACTATTATGTATCTTAGTGTAGTCTACTCATGTGCCAAGTTACACTGAAAAAGAATCAAAAACTGTAGGAGGAGTAGCATTTTGAAAGAATTTCAAAGAAATTTCTATTTTAGTAACCATGGCAACACTGTTCATCGATATGAAAAACCGTTGCACAGAATTATGTATCTTAGTGTAGTCTACTTGTGTGCCAAGTTATATTGAAATAGAACCAAAACTGTAGGAGGAGTAGCATTTTGAAAGAATTTCACAGAAATTTCTATTTTTAGTAACCATGGCAACACCATTTATTGAAAAATCAAAAACCGATGCACAGAATTATGTATCTTAGTGTAGTCTACTTGTGTGCCAAGATATATTGAAATGGAACCAACTCTGTAAGAGGAGTAGCATTTTGAAAAATTGTTTACAGACAGTCAGACGGACGGATGCCGGACACATTATTATTGCATAAGCTCTTCTGGTCTCTGACCAGTAGAGCTAAAAACAATACTCCTTTTATAGATGTACATTAAACTTAAACAGCATTCCTCCCAGAAAAGAATTCTTACTGCGGGAAATGATGTGTCCTTCAAATGACCTCAAAGCCTCCAGATTGTGGGTTGGCGAAAGTTCCACTCTCTGTTGCAAAGTGCCTTCTATCTCAAACAGGCAAGCAGGATGATTCAACAAGTATTCACAGATCACAACAGTTGTACATCATTTCATGGGTCTGAAATATTTACACTCATTACACTTAACATTACAAACAATACTCTTTTTATAGATGTACATTAAACTTAAACAGCATTCCTCCCAGAAAAGAATTCTTACTGCGGGAAATGATGTGTCCTTCAAATGACCTCAAAGCCTCCAGATTGTGGGTTGGCGAAAGTTCCACTCTCTGTTGCAAAGGGCCTTCTTTCTCAAACAGACAAGCAGGATGATTCAACAAGTATTCACAGATCACAACAGTTGTACATCATTTCATGGGTCTGAAATGACAACACACATTACAATAAACATGAACCAGAAGTCTCTGTCGAGACTGTAGCTCTACTGGTTTATACTTAAAACAAAGGAAAAGTAGCAGTTGCGACATGAAACTTTAAAAACAGCAATAATTAGAAAAATGATCCTTGCCACTCATCAAAGCTAAAAACCGATGCATAGTATTATGTATCTTAGTGTAGTCTACTCATGTGCCAAGTTACACTGAAAAAGAATCAAAACTGTAGGAGGAGTAGCATTTTGAAAGAATTTCAAAGAAATTTCTATTTTTAGTAACCATGGCAACACTGTTCATCGATATCAAAAACCGTTGCACAGAATTATGTATCTTAGTGTAGTCTACTTGTGTGCCAAGATATATTGAAATGGAACCAACTCTGTAAGAGGAGTAGCATTTTGAAAAATTGTTTACAGACAGACAGACAGACGGACGGATGCCGGACACATTACTATTGCATAAGCTCTTCTGGTCTCTGACCAGTAGAGCTAAAAACAATACTCTTTTTATAGATGTACATTAAACTTAAACAGCATTCCTCCCAGAAAAGAATTCTTACTGCAGGAAATGATGTGTCCTTCAAATGACCTCAAAGCCTCCAGATTGTGGGTTGGCGAAAGTTCCACTCTCTGTTGCAAAGGGCCTTCTTTCTCAAACAGGCAAGCAGGATGATTCAACAAGTATTCACAGATCACAACAGTTGTACATCATTTCATGGGTCTGAAATTACAACACTCATAACACTTAACATGAAAAACAATACTCTTTTTATGAATTCATAAAACTTAAACTGCATTCCCCCTGAAAAGAATTCTTACTGCGGGAAATGATGTGTCTTTCAAATGACCTCGAAGCCTCCAGATTGTGGGTTGGCGAAAGTTCCACTCTCTGTTGCAAAGGGCCTTCTATCTCAAACAGGCAAGCAGGATCATTCAACAAGTATTCACAGATCACAACAGTTGTACATCATTTCATAGGTCTGAAATATTTACACTCATTACACTTAACATGAAATACAATACTCTTTATGAATGTACATAAAACTTAAGCTGCATTTGTCCCAGAAAAGAATTCTTACTGTGGGAAATGACGTGTCCTTCAAATGACCTCAAAGCCTCCAGATTGTGGGTTGGCGAAAGTTCCACGCTCTGCTGCAAAGGGCCTTTTTTCTCAAACAGGCAAGCAGGCTGATTCAACAAGTATTCACAGATCACAACAGTTGTACATCATTTCATAGGTATGAAATATTTACACTCTTTACACTTAACAAAAAAAACAATACTCTTTTTATGAATGTATATAAAACTTAAGCTGCATTTGTCCCAGAAAAGAATTCTTACTGCGGGAAATGATGTGTCCTTCAAATGACCTCAAAGCCTCCAGATTGTGGGTTGGCGAAAGTTCCACTCTCTGTTGCAAAGGGCCTTTTTTTCTCAAACAGGCAAGCAGGATGATTCAACAAGTATTCACAGATCACAACAGTTGTACATCATTTCTTGGGTCTGAAATGACAACACACATTACAATAAACATGAACCAGAAGTCTCTGTCGAGACTGTAGCTCTACTGGTTTATACTTAAAACAAAGGAAAAGTAGCAGTTGCGACATGAAACTTTAAAAACAGCAATAATTAGAAAAATGATCCTTGCCACTCATCAAAGCAAAAACCGATGCATAGTATTATGTATCTTAGTGTAGTCTACTCATGTGCCAAGTTACACTGAAAAAGAATCAAAACTGTAGGAGGAGTAGCATTTTGAAAGAATTTCAAAGAAATTTCTATTTTAGTAACCATGGCAACACTGTTCATCGATATCAAAAACCGTTGAACAGAATTATGTATCTTAGTGTAGTCTACTTGTGTGCCAAGTTATATTGAAATAGAACCAAAACTGTAGGAGGAGTAGCATTTTGAAAGAATTTCACAGAAATTTCTATTTTTAGTAACCATGGCAACACCATTTATTGAAAAATCAAAAACCGATGCATAGAATTATGTATCTTAGTGTAGTCTACTTGTGTGCCAAGATATATTGAAATGGAACCAGCTCTGTAAGAGGAGTAGCATTTTGAAAAATTGTTTACAGACAGACAGACAGATGGACGGATGCCGGAAACATTTCTATTGCATAAGCTCTTAAGGTCTCTGACCAGTAGAGCTAAAAACAATACTCTTTTTATAGATGTACATTATACTTAAACAGCATTCCTCCCAGAAAAGAATTCTTACTGCGGGAAATGATGTGTCCTTCAAATGACCTCAAAGCCTCCAGATTGTGGGTTGGCGAAAGTTCCACTCTCTGTTGCAAAGGGCCTTTTTTCTCAAACAGGCAAGCAGGATGACTCAACAAGTATTCACAGATCACAACAGTTGTACATCATTTCATGGGTCTGAAATTACAACACTCATAACACTTAACAAAAAAAAACAATACTTTTTTTATGAATTCATAAAACTTAAACTGCATTCCTCCCTGAAAAGAATTCTTACTGCGGGAAATGATGTGTCTTTCAAATGACCTCAAAGCCTCCAGATTGTGGGTTGGCGAAAGTTCCACTCTCTGTTGCAAAGGGCCTTCTATCTCAAACAGGCAAGCAGGATCATTCAACAAGTATTCACAGATCACAACAGTTGTACATCATTTCATGGGTCTGAAATTACAACACTCATTACACTTAACAAAAAAAATAATACTCTTTTTATGAATGTACATAAAACTTAAACTGCATTTATCCCAGAAAAGAATTCTTACTGCGGGAAATGATGTGTCCTTCAAATGACCTCAAAGCCTCCAGATTGTGGGTTGGCGAAAGTTCCACTCTCTGTTGCAAAGGGCCTTCTTTCTAAAACAGGCAAGCAGGATGATTCAACAAGTATTCACAGATCACAACAGTTGTACATCATTCCATGGGGCTGAAATATTTACACTCATTACACTTAACATGAAATACAATACTCTTTATGAATGTACATAAAACTTAAGCTGCATTTGTCCCAGAAGAGAATTCTTACTGCAGGAAATGACGTGTCCTTCAAATGACCTCAAAGCCTTCAGATTGTGGGTTGGCGAAAGTTCCACGCTCTGTTGCAAAGGGCCTTTTTTCTCAAACAGGCAAGCAGGATGATTCAACAAGTATTCACAGATCACAACAGCTAAACATTATTTCATGGGTCTGAAATTACAACACTCATTTCACTTAACATGAAAAACAATACTCTTTTTATGAATGTATATACAACTTTAACTGCATTTGTCCCAGAAAAGAATTCTTACTGCTGGAAATGATGTGTCCTTCAAATGACCTCAAAGCCTCCAGATTGTGGGTTGGCGAAAGTTCCACTCTCTGTTGCAAAGGGCCTTTTTTCTCAAACAGGCAAGCAGGATCATTCAACAAGTATTCACAGATCACAACAGTTGTACATCATTTCATGGGTCTGAAATATTTACACTCATTACACTTAACATTACAAACAATACTCTTTCTATAGATGTACATTAAACTTAAACAGCATTCCTCCCTGAAAAGAATTCTTACTGCGGGAAATGATGTGTCCTTCAAATGACCTCAAAGCCTCCAGATTGTGGGTTGGCGAAAGTTCCACTCTCTGTTGCAAAGGGCCTTCTTTCTCAAACAAGCAAGCAGGATCATTCAACAAGTATTCACAGATCACAACAGTTGTACATCATTTCATGGGTCTGAAATGACAACACACATTACAATAAACATGAACCAGAAGTCTCTGTCGAGACTGTAGCTCTACTGGTTTATACTTAAAACAAAGGAAAAGTAGCAGTTGCGACATGAAACTTTAAAAACAGCAATAATTAGAAAAATGATCCTTGCCACTCATCAAAGCTAAAAACCGATGCATAGTATTATGTATCTTAGTGTAGTCTACTCATGTGCCAAGTTACACTGAAAAAGAATCAAAACTGTAGGAGGAGTAGCATTTTGAAAGAATTTCAAAGAAATTTCTATTTTTAGTAACCATGGCAACACTGTTCATCGATATCAAAAACCGTTGCACAGAATTATGTATCTTAGTGTAGTCTACTTGTGTGCCAAGATATATTGAAATGGAACCAACTCTGTAAGAGGAGTAGCATTTTGAAAAATTGTTTACAGACAGACAGACAGACGGACGGATGCCGGACACATTACTATTGCATAAGCTCTTCTGGTCTCTGACCAGTAGAGCTAAAAACAATACTCTTTTTATAGATGTACATTAAACTTAAACAGCATTCCTCCCAGAAAAGAATTCTTACTGCGGGAAATGATGTGTCCTTCAAATGACCTCAAAGCCTCCAGATTGTGGGTTGGCGAAAGTTCCACTCTCTGTTGCAAAGGGCCTTCTTTCTCAAACAGGCAAGCAGGATGATTCAACAAGTATTCACAGATCACAACAGTTGTACATCATTTCATGGGTCTGAAATTACAACACTCATAACACTTAACATGAAAAACAATACTCTTTTTATGAATTCATAAAACTTAAACTGCATTCCCCCCTGAAAAGAATTCTTACTGCGGGAAATGATGTGTCTTTCAAATGACCTCGAAGCCTCCAGATTGTGGGTTGGCGAAAGTTCCACTCTCTGTTGCAAAGGGCCTTCTATCTCAAACAGGCAAGCAGGATCATTCAACAAGTATTCACAGATCACAACAGTTGTACATCATTTCATAGGTCTGAAATATTTACACTCATTACACTTAACATGAAATACAATACTCTTTATGAATGTACATAAAACTTAAGCTGCATTTGTCCCAGAAAAGAATTCTTACTGTGGGAAATGATGTGTCCTTCAAATGACCTCAAAGCCTCCAGATTGTGGGTTGGCGAAAGTTCCACGCTCTGCTGCAAAGGGCCTTTTTTCTCAAACAGGCAAGCAGGATCATTCAACAAGTATTCACAGATCACAACAGTTGTACATCATTTCATAGGTCTGAAATATTTACACTCATTACACTTAACAAAAAAAACAATACTCTTTTTATGAATGTATATAAAACTTAAGCTGCATTTGTCCCAGAAAAGAATTCTTACTGCGGGAAATGATGTGTCCTTCAAATGACCTCAAAGCCTCCAGATTGTGGGTTGGCGAAAGTTCCACTCTCTGTTGCAAAGGGCCTTTTTCTCAAACAGGCAAGCAGGATGATTCAACAAGTATTCACAGATCACAACAGTTGTACATCATTTCATGGGTCTGAAATTACAACACTCATTACACTTAACATTACAAACAATACTCTTTTTATAGATGTACATTAAACTTAAACAGCATTCCTCCCAGAAAAGAATTCTTACTGCGGGAAATGATGTGTCCTTCAAATGACCTCAAAGCCTCCAGATTGTGGGTTGGCGAAAGTTCCACTCTCTGTTGCAAAGGGCCTTCTTTCTCAAACAGGCAAGCAGGTTCATTCAACAAATATTCACAGATCACAACAGTTGTACATCATTTCATGGGTCTGAAATGACAACACACATTACAATAAACATGAACCAGAAGTCAAGCTACTGGATCTTAAAATTCAACAAGTATTCACAGATCACAACAGTTGTACATCACTCTCTTTCCAAGGGTCTGAAAGTACTACACTCATAACACTTAACATGAAAAACAATACTCTTTTTATGAATGTACATAAAACTTAAACTGCATTTGTCCCTGAAAAGAATTCTTACTGCGGGAAATGATGTGTCCTTCAAATGACCTCAAAGCCTCCAGATTGTGGGTTGGCAAATATTCCACTCTCTGTTGCAAAGGGCCTTCTTTCTCAAACAGGCAAGCAGGATGATTCAACAAGTATTCACAGATCACAACATTTGCACATCATTTCATGGGTCTGAAATTACAACACTCATAACACTTAACATGAAAAACAATACTCTTTTCATGAATTCATAAAACTTAAACTGCATTCGTCCCTGAAAGGAATTCTTACTGCGGGAAATGATGTGTCCTTCAAATGACCTCAAAGCCTCCAGATTGTGGGTTGGCGAAAGTTCCACGCTCTGTTGCAAAGGGCCTTCTTTCTCAAACAGGCAAGCAGGATCATTCAACAAGTATTCACAGATCACAACAGTTGTACATCATTCCATGGGTCTGAAATTACAACACTCATTACACTTAACATTACAAACAATACTCTTTTTTATGAACGTACATAAAACTTAAACTACACTCCTCCCTGAAAGAATTCTTACTGCGGGAAATGATGTGTCCTTCAAATGACCTCAAAGCCTCCAGATTGTGGGTTGGCGAAAGTTCCACGCTCTGTTGCAAAGGGCCTTCTTTCTCAAATATTCAAGCAGGATGATTCAACAGGTATTCACAGATCACAACAGCTGTACATCATTTCATGGGTCTGAAATAAAAACACACATTTCATGAAAAATAATGACCAATATTCCTTTAATTGATGGACTTCAATCTTAAACTACATTCCTCCCATGAAAAATTTTTTTACTGTGAGAAATGATGTGTCCTTCAAATGACCTGAAAGCCTCCAGATTGTGGGTTGGCAAAAGTTCCACTCTCTGTTGCAAAGGACCTTCTTTCTCAAACAGCAATACATCATATCATGGGTCTGAAATTACAACACAAATATCATGAAAAATTAACAACAATTATATTTTTTTGATTCAACTTAATGTAAGATTTTTAAAAAAATTTCCTATATTTTGTTTGTTAAACTTTCATCACCCATTGGGGCTCCATCCTACCCCAGGGGTCATGATCTGAACAAACTTCAATCAACACTACCTGATGATACTTCAATATAGATATGACCAATCACGGCTTTGTTGTTCTTTAGAAGAAGATTTTTAAAAAATTTTCCTATATATTCCAGGACTTATGGAAAACTTTGATGCCCAATTGTGACCCTATCCTAGGGGTCATGATTTGAACACATTTATGGGCTTTTGATTTTGAATACTATTCTTTATTTAAATTTAGTTTCATGAAACATATTTAAATAAAGAATAGTATTCAAAATCAAAAGCCCATTAAACAATACAAAACTAGTTTTAATTGTAACGGGAACCGTTACAGATGTCCCCAAACGCTCCCCAAATCCCTCTTTGTGCCATTTCCCTGTAAGACATTTTTAAAATATGCTCAGTTTCAAAGGATTTCTTATAAGAATTATTAAAGCTACAATGTTACCAACAATATGTTATTTATTAACAAATTGCACGCACACGCACGTGCATGCACATTCAAGATGATCATGGCATGTTGTCTTAACCATTTCTTTGTGTCGTGAGAATCAATAAGACAAATCATAAAAAATATAAATGTTACCGTTTTTCAGATATATTGGTCATTTTGCATATTGTGCACGTGCATGCATGCGTGTCCTTGCATTCATTTCTGATAGTAGCATAATGTAGTAATCCATCATACCTATCCATATTCTAAATTTCATCCCGTTCTGTTGAGAACCAATAAAGTTATAGGCATTTAAAGTTTCAGCCAATCAGATTGCAGCACATGCGCATGCGCATGCTTTCATGATAATTCTTATATATCAGGCTGTAGATCTTCATAATGTATGACTATGTTCAAAATTTCAAATGAGTTTGTCAAAAAACAAGAAAGATATTGAGACTTTAGTTTCAGCCAATCAGAGCGAAGTGCACGTGCATGCGCATGAGATCTTGCTATTTTGACCATGTCATCATGTCTATACTACTAACATATCTTCACATTATGAGTTTCAAAGCATTTCATCAAAAAATAGAAAAGTTGCGGCTATATCTATTGTCACTTCACGTGTTGCATGTGCGCACTCTTGCAAGCACGTGCGTGCAAAATGACCTTGATTCCGCAAATCTACGTAACATGTCTTCTGACCCTAAAAGGTTTTACCTACATCGGACGAACAGTTTACAAGATCATTCCCGGACAAAAAAGTACCCAGGAAGAAGAAGAAGAAAAATAACTAGAGCAAAGCTCGTTGCAAAGCAACGAGTAGGTCTTCCGTCCTGTTTGACCGGAAGTTTATGCTACTTCCCGTGTGACCGGAAGTGTTGACGACGGACATAAAATTAATTTTTATGCTCCCAGTGACAGATGTTACCCAAAAACTTTTCAAGAACGGTGAAAATACGCATTTTTTGACTACTTCCGGTTTGGCCGGAAATGACGTCGCCGGACGTTTTTTGGTGACCCCAGTATATTAAGCTTGACATTTTGAACAACTTTGCTTCATGGATGTATTACAAATTCTCAATACTTTTTGAGATATAAAGGAAAAACTTTCGGCCCCTGTAGACCCCTAATTTTAGGGGCCAGCCCTTTTTCCGAGATATCATTTGGAAGAACTTAAAATTCTACACTTCTTTTGTTCTATATGTTTTAACAAAATATTTCCAGGTAAAAAGATATCGTAGAAAAAGTGCTAAAAATTTTGAAATTCACGATAGACCTATTTTCGGGCCATACCGAGCGCCGACGTGCAGCACTTCCGGTAAAAATAAAATACATTCCACAAATCTACAGACATAGGTCTGTAATAATAGAAAACAGAAGGAAAAACAATAAGGTCTTCCGAAGGAAGTCGGAAGACCTTAACTAGATACGATCTCGTTGCAAGCAACGAGTGGGTCTTCCGTCCGATTTTTGATAAGATGAGATAAGATTTTGATTAAGATTTTCATTCTAAAATAATAATTTACCATAATCTGTACAGGGACATTGATTATTAAAAGCTTTTTAAAAAATCGACTTTTGGCCCCTCACGGCCCCAAACATTAGGGATCAGCCCTTTTTTTCTTCATTTCATCTGAAAGCTCTCAGGATTTTGATGACTTTTTGTTCAACAACAATTCAGAGATTCTTTTTCGTTTTTGAGTTATTCACAAAAGAAATATTTAGGGGCCATCCCTTCAACTCCTTAATGGGGACGTTTAGCGAAAAATGAAAGGTTGCATATTGTTCAGAACATGATTTTGAACATCTTTTGTTCAATATTGTTCAATATTACTTATCAAAATATTTCTCACTTTCGAGATATAAAGCGTCAAAGTTTTAGCATTTTTGGCTCCTTGTGGCCCCTAATCATGTAAAATACGACATTAAAATCATAATATACTACTGTAGATTGTTGAGATAAAATTTTTTGCTTCAGTAATGTATAACAAAATATTGTCTGTTAAAGAGTTATCGAAAAAAGACTTTTAGCTCCTTTTGCCCCTAATTTGAGCGCCCAGCCCCTTTTTCTTGATTTCATCTTGAAGCTCTTAGGATTTTGAACACTTTTTGTTCAGCAACTATTCAGAGATTCTTTTTCGTTTTCGAGTTATTCACAAAAGAAATATTTAGGGGCCAACCCTTCAACTCCCTAATGGGGATGTTTAGCGAAAAATGAAAGGTTGTATATTGTTCAGAACATGATTTTGAACATCTTTTGTTCAATATTACTTATCAAAATTTTTCTTACTTTGGAGATATAAAGCTTCAACGATTTAGAATTCTGGACCCTTGTGGCCCCTTATTATATACGACACAAAAACATAATATATAGTAGTAAATCGCTAAGATGAACATTTTTGCTTCAGTAATGCATTACAAAATATTTAATAATAAAGAGTTATCGATTAAAGACTCTTGGCCCCTTTTGGCCCCTAATTTGAGTGCCCAGCCCCTTTTTCTTGATTTCGTCTTAAAGCTCTTATGATTTTGAACACTTTTTGTTCAACAACTATTCAGAGATTCTTTTTTGTTTTTGAGTTATTTGCAAAAGAAATATTTAGGGGCCAACCCTCAACTCCCTAATGGGGACGTTTAGCGAAAAATGAAAGGTTGCATATTGTTCAGAACATGATTTTGAACATCTTTTGTTCAACATTACTTGTCAAAATACTCACTTTCAAGATATAAAGCGTCAAAGATTTAGCATTCTGGCCCCTTTTGGCCCCTTATCATGTAATATACGACATTAAAATTATAATATACAGTTGTAGATTGTTGAATAAAAATTTTTGCTTCAGTAATGTTTAACAAAATACTCATTGCTAAACAGTTATTGAATGAATACTTTTGGCCCCTCTTTGTTCTTAATGTGATGAGTCAGCATTTTTTTCTTGGTGTCATATTAAAGATCTTAGCATTCCACACAAATGTTGTTCAGTATGTTTTAACAAAATAATTATATTTTAAAAGATATGACACAAATTGTCCCGAAAATTCACTCATGATTCGTGTCCTAGATTTCGACCCCTACCGAGCTTCCATATTGGACCTTTCTGAAAAATTGTAAACCCAATGTGCAATTCAGCAATGTATCCTCTATCATCGCTGAAAATTTCAGCTCTCTGGCTAATGCCGTTTTTGAGTTTACTCATGGACAAGGAGACCCTCTAAAATTCACTGAAAGGGTGATAACTTCCGACCGGAAGTGATTTTTTCAAAATTGAGTCGGGGGTACAAACTTCAGATAGATACACATAATCTCTGAAAATTTGAACAAAATCGATGGAGCCATCTCCGAGAAATCTTCTGCACAAACATTGTAAGAAAAAAAGAAGAATAACTAGAGCCGAGCTCGTTGCAAAGCAACGAGTAGGTCTTCCGTCCTGTTTTACCGGAAGTGGCTTTCATTTTTAACAAAAATGATAAATATCGCCTAAAAATGGTTTGAATCCCCTAAAGGTAGGTTAATTAATGCTAAAATATGCAAATTTTTGCTATTTCCGGTTTAACCGGAAGTGATGACGACGGACGGAAAATTAATTTTTATGCCCCAAGAGACATATTTTACCCAAAAACTTGAGAAGAACGGCAAAAATACGCGTTTTTGACTACTTCCGGTTTGACCGGAGGTGACGACGCCGGACGTTTTTTGACGACACAAATAGATTAAGCTTGACATTTTGAACAACTTTGCTTCTTTGACGTATTACAAATTCTCAAGACTTTTTGAGATGTAAAGAAAAAATTTTTGGCCCCTCCTGGCCCTTAATTTAAGGGGCCAGCCCTTTACTCGAGATGTCATTTGAAAGATCTTAGAATTCTACACCTTTTTTGTTCTACATCCTTTAACAAAATATTTCTAGGTAAAAAGTTATTGTAGAAAAGGTGGTAAAAATTTTGAAAATCTTGAAAGGTTTATTTTCGGGCCATAGCGAGCGTCGGCGCTTCGTACTTCCGGTAGTTGTGATATACTAAGTGCACTTCTCCAAAGGTTGCTCTAAGCATCAGTGAAAATTTCATGCTTCTGTGTTAAGTGCTTTTTGAGAAACCTGCCGGACAAAGTGACCCTCTAAAAATCACTAAATCGCCAAAAACTCCGAACCGGAAGTGACGTCATCAAAATAAAAAATATATGTCTAGATTTTTTGATGTTCTATCAGACCAGAAAGTTTCATGAAAATCGATCGAGCCGTTCTTGAGAAATCGCGCGCACAAAATCGGTAAGAAAAAAAAACAATAATAAAAATAGTGGAAAAGAAACCTAAGAAAAACAATAAGGTCTTCCGCTGAAGACAAAAGACCTTAATAACTAGAGCCGAGCTCGTTGCAAAGC